TTTTCCCTCAGTGTGGTTGTATTTAGTGCCTAAAACACTCTCTTTAATCCCCAAGTGTACCACGAGTACTGCTTGGTTTGTCCCAGGTTATGGCACTGCTTCACATGTATGGCCACATTCCTGATGCTACTCCAGTAAGTCCAAACCTTATGGACTAGATTCTTTTACCCTCTAGTTAATCATCTGTTTTTGTTTCCAAGGGGATTTCTGATGGTGCTGGAGCTGTCATCATAGCTAGTGAAGATGCTGTTAAAAAACATAACTTCACACCACTGGCAAGAATCGTGGGCTACTTTGTGTCTGGATGTGATCCCTCTATCATGGGTATTGGTAAGTTTGTAGTGAAACAAACTGATTCTGTTATATTTCTGGAGATAAGTCTTCTTTGGCATTTGGATTCCTGAAACAGTAGTCAAATCGAGGTCACTTGTGGAGAAAAGGAGATTGGTAATTTAAACAACTCATCTTTATGAAGAACTGTGCCAGGCACAATAGGAAGACCAAGAGCATGTAAACTCCTTGTGGGCAGCAAACATGTCCTGTTGTCCATTTCAGATACATAAAATTATCACACAGTAAACAGAGAAGAATTACAAGGTACTAACAAGATAAAAGAAAATGTGAGGTGGGAGAACTCATTGAAATATAGAAGATACACACCCAGTGGGTATTTTATACATGGTCATTAATGTATCTCATTTAATCTTCCCACAACTCTAGTGAGACTTCTTTGTGAATGAGAAAATTGAGGCTTAGAAAGGTTGTCTTATAAAGTTCCAAACCAGTAAATGATGGAGCAGGGATGGGAATCCAGGTCTAATTCCACTGCTCTTTTCACTGTGTTGTCTCAAGATGTCAAAGAAATATGCACCTGACTCAGCTGAGGCTTGATAGGAAAATGAAGAATTATAAGAAATGCAGCCCAATCAGCAAAGTACTGGCAAGAGCAAATTTGGAACTCCCTCCAAACATGTATGGTGTTGGCTCAAAAAATATGAATTGGAAGGAAAACCAAAGACTTTCTGCTGAATACACTCAGAAACTGCAGATGATGCTGATTTGAATAGTTTCTGTTACCGTTCTTTGGGGAAACAGAGAACCAATTACGTGCCTTACTTACAAAAATAAAATTGGTACCCAGAGGCTTTGATGTATCCCACCTGTACCTTCACACCCCAAGAAAAATTCTGCCCTAGGTTATAGATTCAGATTCCTGCTAGGTCCAGAGACTTCCCTGTATGCTGAGGCCTTTTTTGACTAAAATTGGCATGTGAAGTAGGTTCCATGGAAGGAGGAGGATCACCTATTGCTGACCTGCCTTCTCAGAAATCCTTTAGTGTAATCCTGCAGGTCTTACTCAAATAATAGCACTTATGCTGATTTGAGACTAAGTTAATACCCAACCATGTTTGCTACCGTGTCCTTCAGAGATTTATCTCTGTACAGACCTCCTAAGAAAGTAAGCTTGTCGTCTTTCACTGCATTGCAGATTATGTCAGCCCAAACTGCAAGCTATGTTAGCATCTGTTAAAAGTCAATTGTTTTCTATATTGTAGTCTTAAAAACTTACTAGCTGTTAGCAACCCACTATCAGCAAAGTATACTTTTGTCTTAAAAGTGGAAAGTAGCTTGAAAAATTAAACATCTGTCTATTGCTATGGTATTTATCATTTTGTTATCTAGGGCAGTGATTCCCAACCCTAAATGATAATCAAAATCCACCTATTAACATCCTCCCCACCCAAATTTTGTTTCAGTAGGTCCAGGGTAGAGCCTAGGAATATTTTTTCTTGATGGTTTTGATGATCAACTATATTTATCTGATATAGATAAGTAATTATTTTATAGTTTTCAGTTTCACTTCATTTAAGAGGCTCTGATACATTAACATAGTCAGTGAGCAAGGAAACGTTTCCCTTCCTTCTGTTCCCAGGCCTGGATGTTTGCCCTGTAGCACAATAAATGCCACTGTGGAAGGAGTTTCTCTTTTCCCTCAGGGTTTGAACAGAGCAGTGTATGTTAGATGTCCCACAGTGCCAGATGTCCCCCTCACCTAGATTGCTCATCTATCAGTTGTAGTATGGGATTGAACAAGGTGACTGTGCGAAGTGCACTGGATGAATAAACACAGGAGAACAGATTATTGAGCATCCAGTGGGAACTGATTCGTCAATCCAGTTTCTAAGAATAACTGTTCCCCAGTTAATGCAGTTATCCAACATATAGCAATGCTTCGCTCTCCAGAGTAGCTGCAGACCCAGAAAAAGGGGGAAAGCCAGCACTTGAAGAGAGCAGTCATGGCTCCAAGGAAGGACGCAGTTATGGGGAGATGGTGCCCCTGCAGCCCCCCAGGGCGGCAGTAGAGGTGGGGTTGGTCGGTGGCATTTTGAGCCTCTCCAGCTGGGGCATTGCTAGCTTCCTCTATTATTGGCTTCATCCGTGGAAAGGATCCCACTGCCTATAAAGAAATGGGTCAAAAACCAGTTCAAAGCACTTCTGAAGAGAAGCTTGTAGCCCCAAAAGGTACCTAGGTCACACGGCTATTAGTGGTAACAGCCAGTGCCAGAAATAAGCTGTCCTGTCCCCAACAAGAATACCCTACCTCCCTGAGTCCCAGCAAGTCACAGGGTGGTGTGGGAGCGGCCCTTTGAAAGTCAGCTGGTGGCCAAGCCTGTTGCTACAGATGGCTGTAAGGGTCCTAAGTTAACGTGAGCACACTGCTCATGCTGACTGTGTCATGAGGACAGAGAGGTGTGTACAATGGTTTTACACCCTCCACTTTCAGTTCTGTGTACCTTTCACCCCTGTAGGATGCTTCATCCCTGACCATGTTAGATAACTGATGCTCTGTTATTGACCGTCCATCCCGTTTTCATGCCTTAGAGATACAGAAAGAATCTGGAATTAGATTCTGTATTAAATCAGTAGCCAGAACAGACCTAATGCTTTAAATTGAAAAGCGTTATCAACTAGATGGCCCTACCCATCAGCAGCCTGTTGTCTGAGGAAATTTAAGTAGCTGACAAAATAAATTACATTATATTTAGATTGTGTTAACGCTTTTCTTGTAAAGACTGACTTCCCACTTTACATGAGGTATATCTGTGAAGCTTGTTACAGAATATTTGACTACTTGAATCCAACAGAACATACCACATCCTTTTCTTTTTAGACATTTATGGTGATTTCATTCTCTAAGAACAGATAGAGATGTAGATAATCATCCCTAGCCGGATTATTTTTACCTTTTGGGAAAAAATAACAATTTACTTAAAAATTAAGAGCAGTATCAAACTGCCACTGGTGATCATCAGAAATCTGGGAGCTAAAGTTTGTTTCAAAAGTTTTTTTAGGTGGATTTGCATTTCTTCAGTAGGGGTTGTGTTTTATTTTTATTCGAGCTGTAAATGTCTGCTTGCTTCAGGTATCTTTCCCTGAAGTGACTGGTAGCTTCCTGTCTTGCTCTGCCCATATGGCGAGACTGCCGCTACTTGTTGCCTTTTGTTCAAATGGGCCTGAAAACTCAGGAAGTAGCCACAGTCACTTCTATACTGGGAACGCATATGATGTGTATCCCAGGAGAGCACTCAGTCTGCCTTGCCATTTGGGATTAAGAATGCTCTATGCAAAGTCCCAGAAATGACTCCTTTGGTTATTTGAATTCTTAATGTCATTTATGGCAGACCTTTTCATGTAAATCTCCCATCTACAATCTGACAGCATAACCAGCTTTTCACCTTGGTCCCATTTTCTTTATTGTCACATCCTTTAATAGTGAGCTATCAGGATGGCAAGATTTATAGCTACTAACTGTCACATTATTTCCTTCTTACTTAACCTGTTTGGTAAAGGAGAAATTTGACACTTCACGATGAAACTGACTTCTGTTCCTATACAGGCCCCGTCCCCGCCATCAGTGGGGCGCTGAAGAAAACAGGACTGAGTCTTAAGGACATGGATTTGGTAGAAGTAAGTGTCCTACTTTTTCTACAACATGAATGAACCACCAACTTCTGTAGCATAAATGGCTTTAGTTGGGTATTTTATAGTTCTTTTTGTTTTAGTACTATTAAACTTTCCAAGTGATGTGCATCTAAATAAGTATTACTTTCATTACATGCCCTGTGCTGGTATATAATCAGGCCCTACCTCATTAAAATGCTTTATTTATATTTGAATAATTTAAAACAGCCTGATTTCTTCTACTAAAGTATAAATTCCTGGAAACTTTTTATGACCTTGTAAGATTCTATTACATTTTAGACTATT